ACTAAGACTTAATGTGTTACAACGTAGAAAATAAAATATTCCGTTAACGCGCGCTATTTGAACCATTTATTTGAACACTTTTATCGGCAAATTGTAGCCCTTTAACGAGGAAAAACGCATTTTTCAGCGTTATTTTTTGTATCAAAAAGACCTCATAGGATATACCATTTCAAATGTGACACATTTAGTTCTATGGCACCGTCATGTCAATTAATGTAATTGAAACTATCTTTAAGGACATAAATAAAATAATTTAGCTTAAAAGGGCAGAAAAATATTTTTCTGGAGTGATTCTCGTTTTTCAAAATTTTTATATTCTTCTTATTAACAAAAGATAAAACATGACCCTTAGCGCCGAGGTGATTAGTCAGTACTCAGGCGTTAGTTAAGACCGTGTGCTGCCTCATTTTGAAGTTGAGAGTCCATTCTATAAGACTCGTACTTGGAGAAAAAAATTGCCCTTTAGTTGTATTGCCGATAAAGTTTCGAAAGTGGCATTTGTGAAATGTTCACGAAATGTCGCTCAATGGGATCAAACTTGAACGGCGAGTGGGATCTGAAATGTTCTCAGACAGTTTGTTGGATTATACAATGCTGGAGGAGTCAGGTTCGCTTTATTTTGAAGCTAACTTTTGCCTACAGGGTAACCCAAACTGAATTTTAGATTTTAATCAATCTTTCAACAAAATATACTTATCGTTCAGGACGAATCCAGTCGGCGAGTAACATGAAAATCCCATCTGAAGGTCAGCAGCACGGATTTTGATAAATCTTAGTACTTAAGGGTTTTGAGCGATGCTCTTCCTGATGGATAACTCTAAATAATTTTAAAAGTGCCTGAAGTAGGGTTGCCAGAAAACCAGGGCTTGCCACACATCCATTTCCAGAAAATAAATTTTTTATAGAAACATTTGTCTCTAAAAATATTTCAAATTAGTTGTTTCATTTAGAATTGAATGTGCTTCATTTTAAAAGAGGGTTTAACGCTCCAACTCATAATCTTAAATTTTTATTTAAATTTTAAAATTTGACATTTCAACTTTTTAAAACTGCGCTACCCTTGTTCGCCAGCTAGCCGGAACATTTTCAAGAACATGGTTGGATAGAGCTCGAAACACTCAACATATCTGGACAATTAGTGACTTCCAGAACTGGGATAAAAACGGTTTTTCACAAACACACATGCTAAGTGGGGGTAATACGGTAGTCTTCTCCATTCTGTAGAAAACAAAAGACATCACTTTACGCTTTTCGGAAAATAAAAGATTTTTTTCTTTTTACTTTCCTTTTGATATCAGGAGGAGGTTGTGTTCTATATGTGAAAGAAAATCTTGTGGCAAAACAAGGCGCGGTGATTAAAGACAAGTAATCTCAGTGTATTTTTGTGAACGTTATACTTCCCGGTTTCGGAAATATCTTAGTTTCTGTCTGTTACAGATCGGCAGAAAATATTAGCCAGTTCATTAGAAAGGTTGAAGATCTTTTAATAGACTTAAACACGAAACATCAGCATCAAAGTATGTTAATAATGGGAGATTTTAACGGACATTGTAAGACGTGGTGTAATACGAAAGAAACAACAACTAGAAGGAGCAGAACTACTATCCTTTTCCAAAAGAGCAGGATTATTTCAGTTAGTGAAAGAGCCAACACGACGAGCACACTCTATAGTGCAACCAGATTCTTGTCTTGGTCTTATCTTCTGTGATGATTTAAACTTAATAAGTGAAGCATTGGTAGAGAATTTTTTGTGTGATATGTGCGACCATGCCATTATCAAATTCTCAATCAATTGCAGTATAAAGCGGAATAACTTCTTTAGTCGTAAGATTTACAACTACAAAAATTGCGACTGGGATTTCTTTCGTTATACGTTAAATACATTGTGAGGTGAGACAGACGGCGTTTTTGATTCAAGTACTTCACTGAACCAGCAAGTAAAGTTATATTAAATTAATTAATTTTAGAGACAACAGATAAGGTACTTCCCAACAAGGTAGTTAAAGTAAGGTATGGAGATCAACCGTGGTTCTCAGATAAGCTTAGGAAACTACTAAGGAAGAAGAATCGAGCGTACCAAAAGTATAAAAAGAATAAGAGTAATTCTACGTATCAAAATTATACAACAGCAGCCCAACAATTCCAGAACTTAGCACAACAGCCTAAACAGGGGTATTTGGACAGAATCAACAAAACTGCAGCTAACAGAAAAGATTGGTGGCAAGCCTTAAATTTTGGTATCGGTAGAAAGAAAAGATGCACAATTCCCTCTCTCAAAAACACATCTGAAACTCTTGTTGAAGATGATACTGCTAAGCAGAACTTTTGAACTCTTATTTTGCGTCAATAAACTATATTTCTTCTACTGATGATGCGAAACCTATTCCTAGTACCAACGTAGTACCAAGTGTTCTTCAAATACCAAATCTCAAGGTCACTTTAGAAGACGTTGAAAAAATATTGTTGAAAACTAATGCGGAGAAGGCGTGCTCGTCAGGGGTCACACCACGTTTGTTAAAGGATTCTGCAGTTATTATTGCGCCTACAGTAGTTAAAATGGTTCAACTCTCATCAGATACCGGAGTTTTTCCTAGTTCTTTTAAAACAGGTTACGTAAATGCACTATACAAGGACGTAGAATCAACGTCTCCTTCAAACTATCGACCTATCACGTTGTTACCTGCGCTTAGTAAAGTTTTCGAAAGAGTAGTACATTTTCATCTTTCCAAACACTTAAAGAAAAACAATCTTCTTCCTCCGTTACAATCCGGATTTATTAAGAATGATTCTACAATAAACCAGCTAGTGGACCTAGTTCAATCAATTTATTTAGAAGCAGAACAATCTAAAGTGACTAAGGCAGTATTTTTAGATTTTTCGAAAGCATTTGATAGAGTTTGGATAAAAGGATTGTTAAAAGAATTGGAAAGTAAGGGAGTTAGCGGTTCGATGTTAGAGTGGTTTAAGAGTTATCTCAACGATAGGAAGATTATTACAGTAGTAAATGGTAAACAATCAAATTCGAGATCTACTAACTTATTATTATTATTTGTATATTTTAGTTTTTCGATTTGAATCGATCTTCATAGAGATTCTGATACGTTTTTGATCAGACCTCCAGTTACGTAGCAACTTTTTTATGTGGCACATATCTCGCAAACCAAGAGTCGGCTAGGAATAATGATATCAGATTCGAAATCCTCGTCACCCATTCTCTATTTCTACCTGTGTTTGCTGGTTAAGACTCTTTTTTGATAGGTGTTTAGGTTTGAGGAATTTCAGGAAGTATGTACCGAAAAAATTACCATGGCACAAAGAATCTACACGTTCTCGAAAACAAAGAAAATAAATTCGACCAAACTTTAGCCAAACTTAGCAACAGATTCATTTTATGAACAAAGTAAACCAAAAAGTAAAGAAAAAAAATAGCGACTGCCATTGAGAACAAAGAATACGAATAGTTACTATCAAATCGAAAACGTCAACATACTGAAGATGATAAAGATCGAAGATTACCTGCTGTGACCCAAAAAATAAGACGATCAGCTAGATTATCAACCATTAAATGAATAATTTATTAGAGAGATAATGGATGTTTTGGCCTTTTTGTTTTTTCTAGATTTACTGTGCTGTCATGTCTGCAGATCATAACACGTTTTTATCTGTTTATTTCACGTTTATTATCATGCGTACAATCCTTTCTGTTTTACCATCAACGTATACTTTTTTCAACAAAACTGTTCCATTGTTGTTGTTTTTGCTACATGTTTTAGTTAAACTATATAGCTAAAATTCAATTTTATCATTCCTATTTATTCTCGGTAATCATCATACTGATTCTGTTTCTATAGTTACTTAATTATGTCTCTAGTGTGAATATAAATAGAAGCGTTTTAGTGTGTTTTTAAAACAAACTTTACCTCAATAGTTAAACTTACCTCTTATGTGTGTATGTTTTATTATTGTTCCTTATTATGATTATCGTTAATGTGATTATTGTCATAAACTGATAAGAAAATTAGCTATAACTTATTAGACGTTATAAAAATTTTTGTAAACAAAATGTAAATTATTTCTTACTGAATTTCTTTCTCTTTGTACCATAGATAACAATAAAAAGACTTAATGCGTGCTAATACATTTGTTATTATAACCTTGTTTCTGATTAGAGTAAATATATGCTTATTGCGGGATCCACAAGAACTTTATCTAGATGTTTGGTATTGATTTTCCTTCCATCTGTAAAGGGTGGTCCGGAAGTCTTATCTCAATTTTTATAACTTTTATTGTTCAAATCGGGACAGACTTCTGCATGGTGGGCAATCAGGCGGACATTTGGAAAAAAATCGAAAGTGAGATTTTTCGAGATTCAAATAGTGCCTAATATACTCTGACGTATGATCAATTTAATAGTAAAAATATTTTGGTGCAAGTCCTCACAGCTCCAGAGAAAGTCAGGTTACAATTTTTAGCCGATTTTCAGACTATATTACCAAAAACACCATTTTTGTAAACGATCGCGATAGATTTAAAAAAGATTAACACAAATATTTCAAATGCCCGAAGTTTGGGCTATCGACTCATAAAAAAGACTTTTGTCCCAAGGAGTTTGCTATGAGAAAAAAGCGAAGCTTTCCCAATGCTAAGTATTTTCCAAAGACATGTATTCAGTAAAGTGAGTGCGCACCAAAGCGCACCATTCAAATCGGCCTGAAACTTTGAGGAAATATTCTCCCACATTTAGTTTATCGTCCCATATATGCGCAAATGCATTTCCCCTGAGATACAGATTTTCCAAAAACTCTGATTTTTCAGCGACTTTTCGCATTTTTCTTAGACAAAAAGCATCCAAGCTAAAAACTAAGGTCAGATTCGGAATCAACGTGAAAAACTGCATCTAATTATGTGTCTTTCGTCCACTTTTGATGAACCATTGCTGAAGTTTGCTGGATACAGCAATTCTCCAAGTTTTTCTCTAAAGCTGTAGCTGATGTTTTAGTATGGCATCTGCGAGCTTCCAGAAATTGTGAAAACCAGTTTTCGGCAGATTTTCGACCATGGCGAATCTAATGGTGCAGTTCAAAAACTTTTAAAGTGGTTTTCTAAAGGGTTTCTAGAGACCGGATCTCTGAAAAATCTCTCAAAAAATAGTTTTTAAAGATTTTCTGGTCTCCTTAGAAAGAGCATGTCTGAAAACCTACAAAAGCTATACTTCGAGTGAAGAGGAGCTATGTACCAAATGTCCGCCTGCCTATGAAAAATTGCTCACTGTGTTCTGGGCCACCCTCTATGCACCTTTCTTGTAGTAGCAGCTATTTTCCCTATTGTTCTAAAACTGGACATCCTATATGGATAGTTCCTGGTGTAGGTTCACCAAATTTTTCTGAAGAAAAATAGCATCGTTTTGTTTTATACGCTTTAACTGAACGATTATGGACGAAATGGGTATAAGTGGAAGATCAAAAGCATTAAATGATGTTGAATCAGTTTTTATTGATTTAATACAATAATTGTCGTTAAAGTTGATCAATATTATACTAACTATAAATTCATTAATTCCACCGCAAAATAAAGCAAAAAATGCAACATATTACAAATATTGCAAATATGACTATAAATCAAACAACAAGTTAAAGAATCAGATGTGATTCATTGTATATCAATAATTGAATCTGAACCATCCTTAAAAGAATATTTTTGTTTTTATGCTAATGTAAAGGGTATTATAAATGAATGTAGACAACGTAATGATATCAAAAATACAACTGATATTTGTTTTATTAATTTAATACTACATACCAAGGAATGTATCAAATGTAAAGAATCTCTTGCAATAACAAAAAACGTCATGTTACTAGCATTGGTGCAGAATCTATTACACCGGCAATTATTTGCGTTGTTGAATGTAAAGAATATAAACATGAATATTTTCCACATTATTATCGTGATTGTATTCAAAAGACGAAATATATTCCATCTAAGCTTAGTTATAATTCAAAACTATTTTATTTTGGTGGTCAACGAGCTTTTAAACGAAAAATATTTATTATATTTACATCGAATTTTGTTACATGTCATCTAACATACAATAGTTATTGTGATGCGCATCGAGCCACAATAAAAGATTCTTATCCTTCAACTAATCCTATTTTAGATCCAAAAATATTCCAACATAATCATTTTATATTTGAACTTTGTCGTTTTGTATTTATGTTAACAACAAGTGAATTTTCTGAAATACAACTAGATTATTTATCGGATGAACATGATCGATACTTCAGAGAAAAAAATAGTACTTTATATTCGTTATTTGTACGTCCAGTCATAAGGATAGTTCTAAAACTTGTAAATCAAATTGTTCGAATATTTTACTAACTGACGGACATCAAAAGGCTAATAGAACCGTATGCAATTATGATAATGTTATTGATTTATCAATACCAGAACTTGGACCAATACTTATTGGATGCTATGAGACCCCAGTTCGACGTAACAGCGGTATGTTGGTTTAAGTTAATTTGACACTTACTATTTTTGCCTTTTTCAGGTAATGCCGACCCATTAAAATGCTCCTTTCATCAACCGTCATCATTATCATTACAAAGGTCGTTGGGTGTAACAGATATAAAATCAAAAATTAAAGTAGTGAAATGGCAGAAGCAATTAGAATGAATTGCGATGATAATACATCACTTCAACAATTATCAGAAACAAATGAATGTAATATGTGCCGTAGTGAACATGAAGAATTATATAACGGATGTACCATAATAAACTGGACTAAATGTTACTGCATTTTTTTCGTACTTCCTCTTCAAATTAGAAGTTTCTTTACATACCAAAAGATAGAGAATTTCACGCTCTACAAAACCTACTATTCGAATCTCTGAGAGCATTTTTCTCGTTTGAGCACCATTCAAAATATTGAAGAGTGCTAAGTTGTCGAACTGCGACACAGTGAAAATAGAAAAACATTTGCCTTGATCCAAAAATAGATTCCATAAGATTTTTGAAAACATCAGAAGATTCACCGGAAAATTCTGCATCTTCTTACATATTTTTCGAAATTTTGCAGTTAAATCTTCTAGGAAAATTTCTTTGTGCAAAAAGCTGATAAATCTAAAAAATCTAACTTTTGAACCTATTTTTCACAGAATTTAATTTTTGGACTATAGAAGCAGTAAAACGTTCTGAATCCAGGGTTTTAGTCTTATTATCTTACATAGAATTAAATTCTGTGTCTTTTGATATATAAACAAAGTTTCTCAATTGAAACCATTAATTAAAAAAATTAATTTAATTTGAAAAAATTGAAAAGCTGGTTGAGAACTAATTATGAGATCAGCTGACGTAGTGAAAACATTGTATAAGATTGTAAATGAGTGAGATCGATAGAACACAAAATTTTCTATCTTTCTACCTAGAAAAATTAACTATTGGACCTCAGACAATGTGCTAAAAATCTAAAAAATGAGGCGACAAAAGTACGTTGCAGTTCGACAACTTAGCACTCTTCAGTATTTTGAATGGTGCTCAAACGAGTAAAATGCTCTCAGAGATTCGAATAGTAGATTTTGTAGAGCTTGAAATTCTCTATCTTTTGGTATGTAAAGGAACTTTTTATTTGAATTGAAAGTACGAAACAAATGCAGTAATATTTAGTCCAGTTTATTATGGCACACCCATTACAATCTTTTGAAAATCATTGAAAAATTACATATATCTAATTTTCTCTTATCAAGGTATTCATCATGATAATACGGTCTGTTCAGGTTGTGGACAATCACCAGTTTATGGTATGTATGATGAAAAATGCGTGTTACAACCAAATTTTTAACATTCTATTTCAAGAATTACTAATGAAAAATTTCTCATTTTAGGTATTCGCTGGAGATGTGGTGATTGTCCAAATGTTGATTTATGTTCAATGTGTTATCACGGTGATAGACATAATATTCGTCATCGATTTTGTCGCATCCTCGCATCAAACGGTGAAAGGTAAGTTTCATATTAACTATCTTTGTATCTTAAACAATATTTTGATACTAACGGGAAATCCCCATTTCCCTTTAGTATTTTTCATTTTTCTCGTGTTCCTTTAAGACCTTAAGGTTAATGGTTTTTTCTAAAAGATGCGCCGCAAAATAGTCTACAAAATCCTACCTAAACTTTAATTCCAGAACTTCAATCAAGAAAACTAAGTAAATTATACGAGTAAAAATGGAAACTTTCTAAATTTGTTTTTTTTTCTACTTGAACATTTTCTTCTGCTATTATTTACGTAAAAAAGTATAGCAAACGTGAGAACTCACGAGGGAACCTATCCAACTGTCGGACGCCGTTTGACTCCATATTTTGGCTATAAGTAGGACTCAGTGAGACTAAGAAAATCCTAAAAGGGTTCGGGCCCATGACTCTTGAAGACCCCGTTTTCTGG